AGCCCACCCTCCAAAGCATCTATTTTCTCCCAGGGAACTGATTTCCGCAGTCTGGAGACGAGCTGCAATTTCAGGGGATCCCCAGGTCCCACCTGGAGGCTGGTATCCCTAGGACGGGGAGGGGTATAATGCCATACACCCCATCCTTCAAAGCAGCCATTTTCTCCAGGGGAACTTGTTAAGTATGCAACTCAACAACGAAGTAAGTAACAAATGAATCAGCTTTATTGAGAACGAGAACTTCCAAAGATCACACAGCATCAGACGACACGACGACACACACACAACAAAAGTGGAGCATAGCTCCTTTCAAACTCTCACATAGTTTAACATCCAACCAGGTTACAGAGATAACACCCAATCATTTGTCTTCTGTTATGTATGCGGACCGCCACTAGGGGTCCGTGGCAAAGACTGGAGCTTGACTCCCCTGGACAATAGGAACATAGGATCCTAGTTCCCCCCAGCCCCAACCAATAGCCACTCTGGCGGGAAATTGAAACCCTCCAATGGACTAAGGCTATGCTGGGTGGGTGTGTATATAGTTGGCCTTGCAGGGCCGTTTTAGTTAGTCTTGTGTTAAGTACAATAAACGTGCGCAAGAACACATCGTCGTCCGAGTCATCCATGCGGCGAACCCAGTACTTTTCATCTTCCCTCCAGCACAGACTCTTACATTTCATTGGTTACAGATTATGCTTCAGCCAATGGTGTTGTTCCAGATTAGAATCCGGTTGAGGTCTCAAGCTTAACATGGTTTTGGATGGAGTGAATATACACAACAGAACTGGTCTCTGTTATCTGGAGATCAGTTGTAATTCCAGGAGATATCCCAGCCCAACCTGGAGGTTGGTAGCCCTACTCCCCCCCCCCCAATCCCCAGGTTTCCCAACCTGGAATTGGCAACCCTACCTACTAGCCAGAATTCTCCACTGGCCTTTTGTTGAGCCAGTTTTGAGAAGAGCACTTGTGAAGCTAAATGCATTTTTTGCCTCCGTCTTCACTGTGGAAGATGAGAAGTGCTTGCCCACTCCAGAACCACTGATTTCAGGAGGGGTGTTGAAAGACCTGAGTCAGATTGAGGTGACGAGAGAGGAGGTCCTAAAACTGATAGACAACTTAAAAACTGAAAAATCACCAGGCCCAGATGGCATACATCCGAGAGTTCTGAAAGAACTCAAATGTGAACTTGTAGATCTCCTGACAAAGATATGTAATCTTTCCTTAAAATCTGCCTCCATTCCTGAGGATTGGAAGGTAGCAAATGTCACTCCCATCTTTAAAAAGGGTTCCAGAGGAGATCCGGGAAATTACAGGCCAATCAGTCTGACGTCGATACCGGGTAAATTGGTGGAAACCATTATTAAGGAAAGAATTAGTAGGCACATAGATGAACAAAACCTATTGAGGCAGACTCAGCACGGTTTCTGTAAGGGAAGATCTTGTCTCACTAACCTGTTAGTGTTCTTTGAGGGGGTGAACAAACATGTGGACAAGGGGGATCCAATAGATATTATTTACCTTGACTTCCAGAAAGCTTTTGATAAAGTTCCTCATCAAAGGCTCCTAAGTAAGCTCAAAAATCATGGGATAGAAGGACAAGTCCTTTTATGGATCAAAAACTGGCTAATTCATAGAAAACAGAGAGTGAGTATAAATGGGCAATTTTCTCAGTGGAGGGTGGTAAGCAGTGGGGTACCGCAGGGATCAGTACTTGGTCCACTGCTTTTTAACTTGTTCATTAATGATTTGGAGATGGGAGTAAGCAGTGAAGTGGCTAAATTTGCGGATGATACAAAGTTGTTCAGGGTGGTGAAAACCAGTGAGGATTGTGAGGCACTCCAAGGGGATCTGTCAAGGATGGGCGAGTGGGCGTCAACATGGCAAATGGGGTTCAATGTGGCCAAGTGCAAGGTGATGCACATTGGAGCCAAAAATCCTAAATATAAATACACATTGATGGGGTCTGAACTGGCAGAGACTGAGCAAGAGAGAGATCTTGGAGTTGTAGTGGATAACTCACTGAAAATGTCGAGACAGTGTGTGACTGCAATAAAGAAGGCCAATGCTATGCTGGGGATTATTAGGAAGGGTATTGAAAACAGATCAGCCAATATAATAATGCCCCTATATAAATCAATGGTGAGACCTCATTTGGAATACTGTGTGCAGTTCTGGGCACCACACCTTAAAAAGGATATTATAGCTTTGGAAAAAGTGCAGAAAAGGGCAACTCGAATGATAAAAGGGTTGGAACACTTTCCCTATGAGGAAAGGTTAAAGCGCTTAGGGCTCTTTAGCTTGGAGAAAAGACGACTGAGGGGTGACATGATCGAGGTTTATAAGATTATGCATGGGAAAGAGCAGGTAAAGAAAGAGGTACTTTTCTCCCTTTCTCACAATACAAGAACTCGTGGGCACTCCATGAAACTGCAGAGCGGTCGGGTTAGAACGGATAAAAGGAAGTACTTCTTCACCCAAAGAGTGATTAACACATGGAATTCACTGCCACAGGAAGTGGTGGGTGCTACAAGCATGGACGGCTTCAAAAGGGAATTAGATAAGCATATGGAGCAGAGGTCCATCAGTGGCTATTAGCCACAAGGTATAGCTAGGGGCTCTGGGGCAAGTGATGCTCTGTCTTCTTGGTGCTTGGGGGGGGTCAACAGTGGGAGGGCTTCTAATGTCCTGGCCCCACTGCTGGCCCTCCTGATGGCACTGGTATTTCTGGCCACTGTGTGACACAGAGTGTTGGACTGGATGGGCCTTTGGCCTGATCCAACATTGGCGTCTCTTATGTTCTTATGTTCTTATGTAACTCCATGGTGCACGGAATTAGGATGATTTTGGGCATGTGGCTCTGGGAAATGTTGCTTATCGAATCCAGAGCATGACATACACAGGGGTCATTTCCTGCAGGAGCGAACAGAAGCGGAGCTCCGGCAGTAAAGAGCCTAGGGGGCGGGCACATGCAACAAGCCCCACCCCCTGCTCCCAGCAGCCCTCAGTCACAGCAAGAAGCAGCCAGGTAAGTTGCAGAGCCTCCCCCCCGGCCCCCCAGTCCAAAACAGTCCAGTGGCACTTTTAAGAACCAGACCAAGTCGTATTCAGGTACAAGCTTTCCCTCCTCTGCAAGGACAGATCTGCACCCCCCCCCCAATAGCTAGCAATCCAAAACAGTCCAGTGGAGCCTAAGCAGTGGGTGTTGCCTTCTGACACACTTCCGGTGATGTCAGGGGGTGTGGCATATGCAAATAAATTATGCTAATGAGCTCCTGCACCTCTTTTTCTATGAAACTACCCCTGGACATACATGTCCCCAGGAACTGAACAGGAGGCAGATCATATGGATGAGTGTGTGATTCTGTCTTTTGCCAGCCCGCCCCTTTATCAGGATAATTGTTAATTAATGATTAATCTGTGGGGGTCAGGGAGCATTCAGACAGGAGCACGCTGGTCTCATGGCGCTGAGTGAGTGGAAGCCGCTGGGGATGGTCACATTTGGGGGGGGGTTGCCTATATGGACTAGGGTCTCCTGTTAACAATTATTTGGGAGAAGGCCGGGTTGAGGGCGGGGGCAGAATCAGGCTATGGAATTTTTGTGCTGATTTCCTCTGTGTCCCAAAGGGAGAGAGAACAGGGAGAACAGGAGGACCCACTGTTACTCTCGTATACTTCCCACATCAGCCAAAAGAAACTAAAGTCTTAGGATGGTCTCAGTTGAGAGAAGTAAAATTACTAATAATCTGTATGAAGGAATTAGACAAAGGTGAAGCCAGGGAAGGATCCAGCTGAGAGTTGTGGGAGAAAGGAAGAATTTCCACTACTCAGGAAAGTTTTGAAGGGGATGTGTGGAAAGATGACTTTCCTCACAGGCATGTTGGACAGGTTTCATCTGTTTACAGACAACTATTTTATTTAAAAAAATCAGTTAGCCAGCAGATGAAAAACAGGGAAATACTTCCGGAGGTTCCCTTTGTTCAAAGACGGTACCCCTTTATAAGTAAATGAAATAGAGTAAAACCAAGAGAAATTACTCAAATAGTAATTTTGAAGTATATCTTAAAGTTGTTAGGAATGTTTAATGTTTTTGGCATTAAAATAATTGCATGGAGAGAACTTTATCTTTTATTCTTTTTTTTAAAAATGTCATAGGGTTGGATATAGATTTTTTGATCCTTATGGAATTATTTTATTCATCCCCTTATCATTTGTAAGCTCTGATATTTCTAATGTAAAAAAAGAAAGAAAAGACTTATTTTTGAACCTATTTTTTTCCTCAGTGGTTGCTTTGGGTTTGTACCTGTTTAGTAGCTCAGTGATTGGGGGGTGGGCAGGGTGCCATACCGCACCCCTGCCATAGCCAGTGAACCCTGCCCTCTAATTCTGACTTGGGTTGGAGCAGATTCTGATTGCCAGGGGAAAGGAAAAGGGAAATACTCTGTGCATGCTCAGAGATGTCTGTTTCTGTGCCGTTATTTCACCTGGTCCAGCATTAAGACCTGGAACTGATCTAAACCCTGAGAGCAACTGAGCCCTTAAATGTGAGAAGCAAAGTATTCTGAGCCACAACTCATACTGCTCTGCAACTGAACCATAACAATCAATGGAAACAGAAGGGCTCCTCTCCAGTAACTCGCCTAAGCTGGGCACATGTTCATTTAACAGCCACTGTCTAGGCAGAAATTCAAAAGATGAAGCATTTGCTTGCACAGAGAAGCAGTGATGGGAGGCATGTTTTGGCATGGGCAGGAGAATCAAGATGTCATGATAGAACAGAGGTGCTGGCGAACCCTGGAATAATTTGAACATTTCCCCCAGATTCTGAAGGACATGTTTCACACAGGCCTTTTGCTTGTCTGGGGCTTGTCTGGTCCTAATTAACTTGTTGGATCAGATTTTTTAGGAGAGGGCAGCAAAGTTGGCCATCTGTGATATTAAGATTTCTGCCTAATTCTCCATGCACAGACAGTACAGAATCCGCCTCTCCTCGCATCTTGATGCGCCAGTTCTGGCAAGAACACTCAAAGGCGTCCTCCCTGGAAGATATGATGTTGGACTCAAACGCTCAACAACTCACGCAAGAGGATGTGGCAGAGATCCTCGCCCTTTTGCCCTGTGTGGAAGGACTAGACGTGTTGGAGCTGGGAGCTGGGATCGGGTGAGAGGCTGAAGGGGGTGAGACGGGGGCCATCTGGCTCATACTATCAACAATTAGGCCCTGCTTCCTGCCCAGAGAGGCCCAGGTGGTATCCAGGAAACTTCTGTGGCAGTCTTAGAACTTTTTTTTTTTTGCTGTGATTTCTTACTGAGGGGAAAGGAACATATTCAGAGGCATTGTCATGTTGAGTAATGCTGTGAGAAAGTGACACTTAATATATGTCTTTAAAGAATGATAGAAAAGTGAACAGAAATAATATACATAATCATAGAAAAATATATATTGACGGTGATCTCTGGAATGTCTTGCCGTTTCGAAGGAAGATCTTCTTCTGAACAAAGATGTGGGACAAAAACTGTCTCTCAATAGTTCATATCCTCTGGTGACGTCTCACAATTATCAAAGAAGATTATACAATCATCTTAGCCCATGGCAGGTTCTACTATACATTACAGCTGGTATGATTATTGAAAATCTTCTTTGATAATTGTGAGACGTCACCAGAGGAGATGAACTATTGAGAGACAGTTTTTGTCCCACATCTTTGTTCAGAAGATCTTCCTTCGAAATGGCAAGACATCCCGGAGATCACCGTCAGTATATATTTTTCTATGATTATGTATATTATTTTTGTTCACTTTTCTATGATTCTTTAAAGACATATATTAAGTGTCACTTTCTCACAGTTTTTCTTGTTCTCCGTATTATCTCATTACTGTGCCAATTAATTGTTATTATATGTTGAGTAATGCTTCAAGAGTGCCTGTGGATTATGTATTAAGATGTAGGTTTGCCAACCTTCAGGTGGGGGCTGGAGACCTCCCAAAATTATAAACTGATCTCTACATGAATTGCTTATTACTTATTTAATTATTTGTTTATTTGTATATGTTAAACATGTATTCTCACGGATAAAATGGCTGCTTTGGAAGTGGACTGCATGGCATTATACCTTACCAAGGTCCCTCCCATCCCCATTCTCCCAGACTCCACACTCAAATCTAGGGTTGCCAGGCCTGGGTCGGAAAATACCTGGAGACTTTGGGGTGGATCCAGGAGAGGGCGGGGTTTGGGGAGGGGAGGGACCTCCGCATGTTACAATACCACAGAGTCCACCCTTCAAAGCAGCCATTTTCTCCAGTGGAGCTGATCTCTGTCAGCTGGAGATCAGTTGTAAATGCGAGATATCTCCAGGCCCCACCTGGAGGCTGGCAACCCTACTCAAATCTTTAGTTATTTTCGCATCTGGAGTTGGTAACCTTAAGAAGATTTCTGTGCCGCCTGTCCAGAGACCAGCTTCAGGCACCTAACAAAGCAAAAAACAACAACCAGGCAATAAAACTATAAAAACAACAGCATAAGAATGGATCAATAATAAAACAAGACGTAACATCCCACAACAGCATCATGGTGCCTAAAAATTATATTCATAAAACACTTCCAAGGCTGGAAGCAGATTGTCAAAACCTCTGAAAATTATGGAACTTCTCAGGTAAAGCCTGAGGGTTTGGGGGTTTTCTCTTTAGAGAGCCAGTTTGGTGTAGTGGTTGAGTGCGGGGACTCTAATCTGGGAGAACCGGGTTTGATTCCCCACTCCTCCACTTGCACCTGGCTGGATGACCTTGGGCAAGCCCTAGTTCTGATAAGATCTGTTCTTGAAAAAGAGCCGTTTCTGTCAAGAGCTCTCTCAGCCCCACCTACCTCACAGGGTGTCTGTTGTGGGGACGGGAAGGGAAAGGAGTTTGTAAGCCGCTCTGAGACTCCAAGTGAAGGGCGGGGTATAAATCCAATCTCTTCTTCTTCTTCTCTTCTTTAGTATTTATTTATTTATTTATTTATTTATTTATTTATTTATTTATTTGGCCTGGCACCTAAAGGACCATAACGTAGACACCAGATGAGCCTCAAGGGGAAGGACATTCCAATGGTGTGTGTTTTGTCACCACTGAGAAAGCCCTGCAACGGGTTGCCACCTGACTACATCTTCAGGGAAAGGTATGGAGTGCAGGGTTGGGGGAGAGGATCTTAACTGCTTGGGTGGACAGTATAGGAGACAGGCGGCAGCACTTCTTCAAGTACCCTGGCCCCAAGGCAGTTAGGGCTTTGAAGGTAAGAACGAGCAACTTCCAATTGTGCTCAGGCACAAACAGGCCACTAATGTACATCTTCTGCAAAGTGGTTATGATAATCTCATAGTCTACATCTCCCAAAATAGCTAGCAGTTGCATTTTGGAGTAATTGGAGTTTTCAGACACTTTTCAAAGGCAGCACAGCGTAAAGCACATTAATCTAACCTGGATGATCACAGATCACTGTGGCCCAGACATGCTTTTTGAGGAACAGACATAGTTATCATACCAGCCAAAGAGAGTAAAAGGCACTGTGTGCCACAGAGAAGACAGGAGCCCCCAAAGAGAGGCCAGGATCCATCAGCACTGTCAGGCTACAAACCTCTTCCTTCAGGAAAAATGCAACCCCCATCAAGACAGGCTGACTCCTCAGTCTCTGAGAGGTTTTGTCATTGATCAAAAGGGTCATTTCGTAGAAAAAGAGGTGCAGGAGCTCATTAGCATAACTCATTTGCATATGCCACACCCCCTGACCCACTGCTCAGGCTCCACTGGACTGTTTTGGATTGCTAGCTATTGGGGGGGGGGGGAACGTGCAGATCTGTCCTAGCAGAGGAGGGAGAGCTTAAAGGTGCCACTGGACTGTTTTGGACTGGGGTGGTGGTGGAGGGGGCTCTGCAACTTACCTGGCTGCTTCTTGCTCTGACTGAGGGCTGCTGGGAGCAGGGGGTGGGGCTTGTTACATGTGCCCACCCCCTTGGGCTCTTTACTGCTGGAGCTCCGCTCCTGTGCGCTCCTGCAGGAAATGACCCCTGATCAAAAGCATGAGTTTGTTCTCACCTACTGAAACTGCCTAAGTATACATAACTGAGAGGAATACCAATTCTTCCCTGGGTTATCCTTGTTTCTCTATGTAATCTGCCTTGAGTCTCAGTGAAAAAGGTAGGCTATAAATAAATGAAATCATACAAATAAATTTTGTCTCCAGCTGCCTTCCCACCCTTTCTGAGGAGATTGAAATTTTATATTGTATGCTCCTTGGGGCAGAGACATATACTTTTATATTGTACGAAATGCCATGCACACAGATGGCTTATTTAGTATTGTTATACCCAAGACATTTCTCTGTTTGTGTCCCTGCTAGGGTTGCCAACCTCCAGGTTGTGGCTGGAGAGCTCCCCTTATTACAACTCATCTCCAGGCAACAGAGATCAGTTCACCTGGAGAAAATGGCCTCTTTGGAAAGTGGACTCTATGGCATTACACCCCATTGAAGTCCCTCTGCTCACCAAACCCTGCCCTCAGGTGCCACCCCTGAAATCTCCAGGTATTTCCCAACCTGGAGCTGACAACCCTAGTCATTGCAGAGCCACAAACAGTCAAAGCAGTAAAGCAGCTTTGACCCTGGTCACACGGGAGGTTTTGGCCCGCAAGAGGGACAGATCGGGGGCACAGCAAACGGGCACGATCACACCGCAACATCTGGGAAGCGGCGCGCACCCGTCCCCGATCCATCCCTTCAGGCCGAAAACACGCAGTAAAAAAACCCCGAGGAAATAGTAGGACCAACCTGAAACGCCGCAGCGAGCACGGCCGTGGGATCGCCGGCGTGGCCGTCTTCAGTAGCATTCGAGGCTCCCGGCCAAACTGCGCATGTGCACACATGCGCAGCCGGCTGTCTCGCTCTCCCTTCCGTGGCTACCCCCCGGCATCTGATCGTGCCGGGGAGCAATTGCGCGGCGGCTCAGGGGATCTGTCTGATCCCGCCGCCGCATGTCTCTTTTGGTACGGCTCTAAAAAGCCGCACTTTGGCCGTGTCAATTTCCCCCGTGTGACCGGGGCCTTTGTATGTCTCTGCAATATGCACCAATATAGGAGCAAGCAGTTCAGCAAGGCACAGAATGGCTTCCCAGGGAGACTCTGGTGACCTCTTTGCTGTGGGGAGGGATGCTTTAGGAAGACAATTTTTTCAGGCACCAAATTCTCCATGCATAGAAGGTGCTGCTGTGGTTTCTTGGCTTTGGGGGGTTGGGGTTGGCAAGTGACAGCATGGTCCCTTTGGGGGTCTCAGTTCCTCTCTCCCAGAGCAGATTCCCTCAGCTGTTGGAAACAAAGGTTCAAGGTTAAGGCTAATCCCTGAAACATATTAAGTAGTGGTCAAAGAAAGCACTTATCTCCCTTTCTTTTACCACTGAGGAGTAACCCTCTTACAAATCGGATGGGCATCAAAGGTCATTTCCACATAGGCTTGAGTTCCAGCTCGGATAGCCAGCCTCCAAATGGGGCCTGTAGTTCTCACAGGACCACAACTGATCTCCAGCCTTACATAGAGATCATTCCCCTGGAGAAAATGGGTGCTTTGGAGGGTGAAAAATCAGCCTCCCACAGTGTGTGTTTTAGAGATATTCCCAGGGGTTGTTTCGTAGAAAAAGAGCTAGGGGAACTCATTAGCATAACTCATTAGCATATGCCACACCCCCTGACATCACCGGAAGTGTGTCATAAGGTCACACCCCCTGACATCACCGGAAGTGTGTCATAAGGCCACACACCCCGCCCCCAACGGTCCCGGCCGCTGCCGCCGGCCTTGCAGCTCCACTGCCGAGCCCCATGAGGGGCCCGGCGGTGGACCTGCAAGGCCAGCGGGAGTGCAAGGAAGCCCCGCAAAGGCCCTCCCTGGCCCCAGGCAGGCAGGGGTGGGGAGAGGCAGGGAGGAAGCAACTTACCCTCCCTCTTCTCCTGCCTCCTCCTGGCTGAATGAGGGCCGGAAGCGGGGGGCGGGGCTTCATCATGTGCCCCGCCCCCCATACCTCACCCCTGGGAAATTGCATCCCCCCCGAAATGACCTCTGGATATTCCTGTCAGATTCCAGGCCTGAGACCCTTCCTGCCTCAACCTTTCTTTTTTTTCAGCCGGTTCACCGGGCCTCTTGCAGATGTGGCACATCACGTCACAGCTGTGGATTTCATGGAGAGCTTTGTCACACATAACCAGAAGGAGAATGGGCACCGACCCAATGTGGCATTTCTTCAGGCCGATGTAACCAGCTTGGAGCTGCCGAGCCAGAGGTGAGCTGGTTGAAGCCGAGTCTCACTTCAATTTCAGATTTATTTATTTATTTTAGACATTTATACCCTGCTTTGCTTTCTAATGGGGACCCGAAGCAGCTTACAACATTCCTCTCCCTGCTTCCGTCGTCACAATAACAGCTGTGTAAGGTTAGGGATGCCAGCCTCCAGGTGGGACCTGGGGATCCCCTGGAATTACAGGTCATCTCCAGACTACAGAGATTAGTTCCCCTGGAGAAAATGGATGCTTTGGAGGGTGGACTCTATGGCATTATAACCCACTGAGGTCCCACTCCTCCCCAGGCTCCACCCCCAAATCCCTAGGAGTTTCTCAAACTGGATCTGGCAACTCTACCCCCCTCCCCAATCCCCTGCTGATGGAAAAGTGGAACCTGGCAACTCTATGTAAAGTAGATTAGGCTGAGAGAGAAAGAGTGATCAGCCCAAAAGGGAGGGCAAGGCCACCCAGCAAGCTTCTGTGGCAGAGTGGGGATTCAAACCTGGGACTTTCTGATCCTAATCCAACATATACTGAGTAGTAGTTAACACAGCAGGGCCTCTCATCTTGTGCAAAGCGCATCTCCCATCTCCACAAGTGGCTTCCAGCAGCCCTGCTCATGGGACCTAAAGTTTCACAAGATATTACTTGGTAGGCAGGCCATAGACCATAGGATTGGCTTGCAGAAATTAGCAATTCCTCTGGTTTAGGGTTGCTACCTTATTGCCCCTGCTCTTCTGCCTTCAATAGAAGCTTGACTCTATATTGATCCCAAGGAGGGTTGCCAGCTGGCTTGGAGAAAAACATCCTGCTCCTTTTGTTGTTGTTCAGTTGCACAGTCAAGTCCAACTCTTTGCGACCCCATGGACCACATCACGCCAGGCCCTCCTGTCTTCCGTCGTGCTCCGGAGTTTGCTTAATTTCATGTTCGTTGCCTGGATAACACTGTCTAACCATCTCATCCTTTGCCATCCCCTTCTTCTTTGGCCTTCAATCTTTCCCAGCATCAGGGTCTTCTCCAGTGAGTGCTCCCTTCTCATTTGGTGGCCAAAGTATTTGAGCTTCAGCTTCAGTATCTTTAATAAAGGCTTAATATGTGAAAATAGGCCTTGAAGCACTGTACCACATGGAGATAAATAACGTCACCTGGTCAACAACATCCTGTTAAATCTCTATTAGAATCATAGAAGCGGGAGCGGTGGCGCAGGCAATACAACGCCTGCTGATAACATCTGTAGCGAACAGCCATAATGGCTGTTCGAATCCCCACCGCGGCCGGGTTGAGCCCCCGGCCCTCATCTCAGCTCCCGCCAACCCAGCCGCTCTAATAACAACAGAGGAATGGGTACCTGCCCTAGGTGGCAGGGGGCACCCTCCTCCTGGCTTATGCTGGGAAGGCGATCGGCAGCAGTAAGGAAAAGGAGAAGCGGCGGCAAGAAAGCAATGGCGGCGTCGGAGAGTGACCCAGGAAAGGCAGCGGCTGGATCAAGCAGAGGCGGAGCCAGAGCAACGCGCTGACGTGGGGCTTTTTCTGCATTTTTTTGATCATTTCTGGCCCCAAACTGCTTTGGCTTATCCCAATTTCCACATGCATTGTCTGCCTTTAGTTTTTGTGAAGAAATGCCCCTTTTTTCTGGGAGGTTTGAAATGAGTAAGACCTCCATGATGTGTTTTAAAAGTTTTTTTCCCCTCTGGGTAGAGTCCAGTCAGTTCACTTGCTTCCCAGATGCACCTCAGCTCACCTTCATACAAATGCTAATATGATCTAGCAGGAGAGATAATGGGTGGGTCAAGATCTCCCCCTTCCTCCTAATAGGGAACAGAGATTTGGAGGAATTAAATGCTAGAGGGACTCCAGGAAGGAAATGTGGGACCTGGTCAGTGAGTGGAGAAACGGATATGGTAAAAACTCCTTGCAGCAGGAAGAAAGTCTCTTTTCCTTAGATGCTGAGTCCATAGCGCACACAGACGTCTCCACTGGGAAGGTAGCCATTGCTTACCTGGAGAGCTGAAGGAAGCTTCAAGGTAATGACAACTATGTGGAGATCTGTAACTTCTTAAAGCTAAGGAGCCTGTCCTATATTTTAACATCTGATAGGGCATGTATAGAGAGAGAGGAGGACAGAGGATTTGCATTTTACCTATTTCTTTCATATTCCTTGCTCAATCTGGTGCTGTGCTAAAAGTATGCTTATAAACGTTTTCTTTTTAATAAATACTTTATTACTTTTGATGCTGGTAGTGGTTCTCTGTACCACATAGACCCCCTCCATCTCGGACACACTATTTTAAAAGAAGCGACAGGGGGAAGACAGGAAGTTGGCAAGTGACTATTCCCCCAGGGGCATGCAAATACAACAAATTTATTCACAGCAAAAGCCAGCACCCAGGGGCATGCAAGGCCTTAAACTGTCCCTATGGTGACCCAGTGCTAGACAGCGGGAGACACAGAGGCAGGGAGTCCTGACCCTCCCAGCAGGCAATTCTTCTCAAAGGTCAGGTGGCTGGTAGCAAACTACCCAAGAGTGGAAGAAAGGCCTCTCCAGGTGTTGAGAAAAACCTAGGAAGGCAGGGCAGAATAGGGCCCGCAGGCCAGAGCCGGCACGTTCCACCACAGTTTTCATGTCAGTTTGTTTCCCTCCCTGAGTTTTTTTCTGGCTCTTTTGAGACCACTTTTACCCTAATGTTTTTCTGACAGCCAGTTCTGAGTCAGCTTTTTCCTAGTGCATAATGTTTCTATTAGTTTTCTTTGTCCTACCCTCCTCCAGCTCACTTTTCAATTACTACACTGTCATCATTATTAAGCCACTCCCTGTCCTGAAGACAAGTGACTTCAGTTTTTATAATGGCCCTATAATATCAACATATCACTGTGGTAAGTCTCTAGCTTATTCTCTTGTAGAGATATAAAGAGAAATGCATATCTCCACAAAAAACGAGTCTAGAGACTTACTTTAAAAAAAATGAAAGCTGGGGATTCAGAGAACCTTACATAGAGCAAAATATCGATATCTTAGGGACATTTTTAAAAAAGAACAAGGGGGTGCTCTGACACCACTGATAATCACACCAACAATGACAGCACCCTCCCTTGAAAATCTTCATTATTTAAACCACATGCAGAAGAAAATAAACTGACTCCACAACTGTAAAAATGCACAGGGCAGGAAGATGTACAGAAGAACCCTGCCCAGGGCCTAGATTTTTTAACCAAGAAGCCTTGGTAAAAATGGGACTACAGGTGAAGCCAAGGTCTGTTAATGTGCAGCTTGATGTTTCCATCAATACTTTTATTAGGACTGTTGCCCAGTTTCAAAAAAGCCTTTCTCTTTTTTGCTCCATTCCGGGCTCGCTCACACCAGTTTCTCTCCAAGGAAATACAATCCCGCCACTTAAACCAGCATTAACATGCCTGGATATTTGTGGTGTTTTGCTTTATTTATACATGTGTAAGTAGAGTACAGGCAAGGTTAGAGAGAGGCACTCTTACAGGGCAGCAAATCTGCTAGCTACTTCAGATCCCCAGAGATGCCACCCAGATGAACACACGAAACTGCCTAAACAGACCTTGAATTGCCTTGTATCAAGCTAGACTGGTCTATCGAGATCAGTATTATTCTCACTGGCAGTGGCTCACCAGCATTTCAGGTAGAGGTCTTTCAAATCACCTTCCTCCTACCTATGATTCATTTAACTGGAGAGGCCAGGGACTGAACCTGGGACCTTCTGTATGGCAAGAAGATGCTCTACCACTGAGCCACAGCTCCTTCCCCAATGCATTGCTTATTATACAAAGTTTTTGGCCTGCTGCAGCAGTCTTATAATCAGGGATCATTTCCTGCGGGAGCGCACAGAAGCGGAGCTCTGGTAGTAAGGAGCCCAGGGGGCGGGCACATGCAACAAGCCCCGCCCCCTGCTCCCAGGAGCCCTCAGTCGGGCCACGAGGAGCAAGAAGCAGCCAGATAAGTTGCAGAGCCCCGCCGGCCCACCTTCAGGTACAAGCTCTCCCTCCTCTGTGAGAACAGATCTGCATGTCCTCCCCCCACAATAGTTAGCAATCCAAAACAATCCAGTGGAGCCTGAGTGGTGGGTATTGCCTTCTGACACACTTCCGGCGATGTCAGGGGGTGTGGCATGTGCAAATATTATGCTAATAAATTATGCTAATAAGCTCCTGCACCTCTTTTTCTACGAAATGACCCCTGCTTATAATACAGATAAAGTGTTCCCCCCATATCTCTTCATCTATGCCAGGAAAAGCCTCTACCTAACAATTTTTCCCCCGCCTGTCAGGCTGTGTGTTAAATCACATTTATTTTTTTTAAGTAGCAGCAGTCTTAGCCTTTGACATTGGTCTCAAAGCCAGTATGTTTTCCTCCTGGCAGAGATCCTATGCCTTTAAACAGCTGCCAGAAATGCAGAAGCACTTGTGGAATTTTTTTGAAGTGGAGCAAATATTTGCAAACACTGGAGATTCGGCAAAATGTTGGATTTCACCATTGTAGATATTTTAAAAAGCACTCCTATGGCCTCAGCCCTTGAAATCCAAACTGCGTTCACCTTTTTGGCCTCTCTTGACGGCTTCCCCTTCTCCCCACCCTCACCCAATAGCTTTGACCTCATCTTCTCCAACTGGCTTTTCATGTATCTCTCGGATGCTGAGCTGAGCAATTTGGCCCAGAAGATGCTGAGCTGGCTTCGTCCTGGGGGACACCTTTTCTTCCGGGAGTCCTGCTTCCACCAGTCAGGTAGGACTTAAAAGTGTTGTTGTAATATTTGCTCTGTTTACAAGTGTGGGGGCAAAGTGTGTGGGGGAATTCCTGCCAGGAAGCAGATCCCATACTCCTCCCCCAGAGAGATCACCCCAAAAGTGCTTCATACAAGTCACAGCAGGCTCTCCCTCCTTCCATTTCATTCCTTACACTTCTGTTTATTTCATAGAATCATAGAGCTGGAAGGGGTCATACAGGCCATCTAGTCCAACCCCCTGCTTAGTGCAGGATCAGCCTAGAGCATCCCTGACAAGTGTTTGTCCAGCCGTTGCTTGTAGACTGCCAGTGAGGGGGAGGCTCACCACCTCCTTAGGCAGTCGATTCCACTGCTGAACTTCTCTTACTGTGAAAATTTCCCCCCTAATATCCAGCTGGTATCTTTCCGCCCATAACTGAAAGTCCCGTCTACTGCTGCCAACAGGAACAGCTCCCTGCCCTCCTGTAAGGCTGCGGTCACACAAACTAAATAATCCACTTTTACTGCACTTGTGAATTGGATTTTGCCAGTTCCCACAGTAAAAATCCAGTTGGAAAGTGCACTGAAAGTGGATTGAAAGTGGATTATTTAGTGTGTGTGATCGCAGCCTAAGTGACAGCCTTTCAAATACTTACAGAGAGCAAGACTGTTCCTCCTCAACCCCCATTTCTCCAGACCAAACATTCCCAAGTCCTTCATTTTCATTGCTCCTTCTGCACCCACCCCATTTTGTCCACATCCTTTTTAAAGGGAGCCCTCCAGAGCTGCATACCTTACTCCAGGTGCAGCCTGATTAATGCGGTGTACAGTGAGACTGTGACACGTGATTTGGATGTTATGCCTCTGTTGATAAACCCCAAAAAATGCATTAGCCTTTTTTGCTGCTGCATCACACTGACTGCTCATATTTAGCTTATAAATATGTAATAGGATCTTGTTCATACACACTGCTACCCAGAAATGTATCCACCATCCAATATCCATGCTTCTCATTTTTGTTACCCGGTTGTAGAACTCTGCACTTATCCTTTTTGAATTGCATCTTGTTCATATCCACTCACTTTTCCACTGCATTCAGGTCTTGTTGAATTCCATCTCTATTTTCTGGCATGTTTGCTACTCCTCTCCCCCCCCCCCACAAGAACAGAGCACTCCAGAGATCATCTCCAAATAGCATTGCCAACCTCCAGATGGGACCTGGAAATCTCCTGCTATTACAATCGATCTCCAGGCAACAGAGATCAGTTCCCCTGGAGAAAATGCCTGCTTTGGAGGGTGCACTCCCTGTCACTGTACCCTGCTGAGGCCCCTCTCCTTCCCAAACCCCGCCCTCCTCAGGCTCCACCCCCAGAATCTCCCGGTATTTTCCCACCAGGAGCTGGCAAACTTATGATTCCAAACAATTAGAGCCTGTGGAGGCAATACCGGCAGACCGTTCTGAGCCATCCACTAAGATTCACAAGTTAAAAGTCCTTGTAACCAATGTGGCCATTCCACGTCTTGTCAATCTGACATCCTCTGGGAGTTCCAAGCCTGGAACTTTATTTCCAAGTAGGTGGGGGGCCCCAATTTGAGACCATGGCACACCAGGGAGAGGGTGATTACACCTTATTTCCCCACAAGCCATTTCACCAACGTGACACATGGTTGCCAGCTTCAAGGTCAGGCCTGGAGTTCTCCAGAAATTAATACTGATCTCCAGACTACGGAGATCAGATCCCCCAAAGGGAATGGCAGCTTCAGAGGACAGACTCTATATGGCTTCACATCACCAGTGTGCTCCCTCCCTTTCCCAGACTCCACCCTCTCCAGTGGGGTTGCCAACCTCCAGATAGCACCTGGAAATCTCCTGCTATTACAGTTGATCTCCAGGTGACCAAGATCAATTCCCCTGGAGAAAGCGGCTGCTTGGGGGGGGGGGGGGAGACTGTATGGCATTATAGCCTGCTGGGGTCCCTCCCCTCTCCAAACCCCGCTCTCTCCAGGCTCCACCCCCCAAATCTCCAGGTATTTCCCAACCCTGACCTGGCATCCCTACTCTCCCGGCAGTGCCCCCAAATTTCAAGGAATTTCCCAAGCCGGAGTTGGCCCTGGGGAGGTGCTGTTTGCCCTGTTGGGAGCAGCTCCCAGGCCCCTTTCAAGCCATGAAAATAGCATGGTGGGAGAAGGATGCTCAAGCCTCCTTTTCCTGTGTGCCATGGTCCCAATCCTAATGGGGCCCGTGCACGCCTGGAGAACTCCCTGATTGACAAGGACCCACGATGGCCATACAGGGCATGTGAGGACTTTGTCATGTGTGAAAAGCCAGCGTACATGAACTTGCAGTTGCATTTCATGGAGAGATCAAGATGCATAACCTTCGTCTTGTGTGTCTGAACTAGATCCTGTGCCTCCCCTTCCCTGCATAGAGCAGGAGGGTGCTGTGGTGGGAAACCAGGAGTTTGGCTGGCCATGGAAAGGGAGTCATGTGCCCAGGGTAGGAAGCTTCCTGCGCTTTCCTGCCTGAGGTCAGGCATGTGGATGAGTAGGAAGGAAAGCCATAGGAACTAAAATGCTGGGGGCAGGGGAGCACCGGCAGTGGGGAAGAGGGAATTTTGTGTGTGTGTGTGTGGGGGACATAAACCGATGCCAAGTAACATAATTGTACATATTATATTCCATAATTTTCAAATCTGAATTTAAACACATGTAACCCTGACCTCTAGCAGCAAGAAAGTTGGGTGAGCATCATGCACCAGGAAGATATGAACGGATCTGCTCAGCATGTTAAAAATAGAAATATGAATTAGGGTAGAGGGGTTTAGCCCTTCCTCCCTGGCATAGTTTTACTTATCAAAACACCACTGCCCCAGCCATTAGTAGCCCTGGAAGGACGGGAAAAGGACAAACAGAAGGTTCCTTGTTGGAGTAACAACAGCCCACAAGGATTGGTGGCTTTGATTGGCAGAACCAAGGCTATTTTTGGGCAGGAACGCACAGGAACGGAGTTCCGGCTGGCTCCCAAATTGACCACGCCCAGCAGGAACTCATTAGCATAACAGGCCACACCCAACAGCAGAAATTCATTAGGATTGGCTACATTAGAGGTGTGTGGCCTAACATGCAAAGGAGTCCCTGCTACAAAAAAGCCCTGGGTTTTGACAACAAGGTAAACAGAATAACAAGCAAAAGGTGGGTGTGGCTGGATAACCACACTTCTGGTAACATGGGGGTGCGGCCTAATGTGGTAATGAGCTGTGCTGTCGGGGGTGTGGCCTAATATGCTAATGAGTTCCTGCTGTTGGGTGTGGCCTATTATGCTAATGAGTTCCTGTTGGGCTTTTTCTACAAAAAGAGCCCTGGGCAGAACCATGTAATGGGGAAGGATCAAACCTCTTCTTCCCTTACCCATGCCACATCCTTGCTTGGAATTGGACCCCTCAGCAGCTGCTATCTGCATTTGGAATATGCTGGGCAGATCTATCATGGATCTCCCGGTGTTTTTGTTTCGTTTGGCCCTCAGTCTTGGAAGCCACCGCAAGGCACGTCAATATTTAATCGGCACCATTCCTTGAGCAGCCTTTGCTACATCAACACGAAGATGATTTCATTCATTTGTCCAAATATTGCCCCTTCACTCCAGATGTAGCTATTGTTAACAGGCACCGCTGTTACTTCCTGAACAAACTTGAAAAGAGGCTTCATACAAAATCAGCTCCACATTTTTCCAAACAGGAATTTCCTTTAGTGGTTCTCAGACTTGTTTGAAGTGAGATCTACTTCTAAACTTTACTTTGGGGGACACACTGGCAAAATAACTTCATGGTACTTTCCACCCTACCCAACGAAGAATGCAAGAACTTCACATTAGTAAATGCTGAACAAGATTATGTTCTGTTTACAATATTTATACATACACAGCATTATTGAGCAACAGGTTATGGATGTTTCACACATTACAAAGCCCCCCCCCCCCAGCTCACCCTGTTCACAAGGACATAAGAAGAAGAAGAAGAGGAAGAGATTGGATTTATACCCCGCCCTTCACTACCCAAAGGTGTCTCAGAGCGGCTTACAGACTCCTTTCCCTTCCCCTCCCCACAACAGACACCCTGTGAGGTAGGCGGGGCTGAGAGAGCTCTTGACAGAAACTGCTCTTTTTCAAGAACAGCTCTTATCAGAACTACGGCTTGCCCAAGGTCCAATGGTCTGGTTCAGTATAAGGCAGCTTCAATGATGTGTGAACTGGCTTCCTACCTCCTGTGACCTCTTCCCAGTCCTTACTGGGAAGTTGCAGTGCCAGCCAAAGTGACATATCTTTCTTCCCTCACAGAAGGCAAAATGTTTAATTCCCTGAGTAACGGAAGCCTCCACCCCAGCTCAGTGCCAGAGGCTTCTCAGGAACAAGCACAATAAAAAATCCACTGTGCAACAACTTTGCCAAACGTGCAGCAAATCCCTTTCAGAGGTGGTTTCCTAACTCAAGGTCCAGTCCTCTGGCTCAGACTGACTTCTTCTTCCTTTAGGAGACAGCCCAAGGGCATTCAATCCAACCTTCTACCGATCACCTAAAGAGTACAATGGCCTCCTCACTTCTGCCCAGAAGACCTTTGGAGACAAACTCTACGGCTTTGAGATAGTTTTGTCGCGATCTGTGCAAACTTACATAAAGGTAACTGTTTCTTCTATATTCATACTGTGGAGTACCTCTGAGTCTGTACAGAGTGCTTTTCTCTCACCGCCAGAGGTCATTTCGGGGGGGAACGCAGGGGAACGCAGTTCCCCCGGGTGAGGTACGGGGGCGGGGCACATGACGAAGCCCCGCCCCCTGCTTCCGGCCACCCCACTTCCGGCCCTCATTCAGCCAGGAGGAGGCAGGAGAAGAGGGAGGGTAAGTTGCTTCCTCCCTGCCTCTCCCCACCCCTGCCTGCCTGGGGCCAGGGAGGGCCTTCGCGGGGCTTCCTTGCACTCCCGCCGGCCTTGCAGGTCCACCGCCTTATGTCGGGGTGTGGCCTTATGACACACTTCCGGTGATGTCGGGGTGTGTGGCATATGCTAATGAGTTATGCTAATGAGTTCCCCTAGCTCTTTTTCTACGAAACGACCCCTGCTCACCGCTAAGTAAGTATAGCCTACCCCATCCTTTCGTGGGGGGGGGGATGTCAGAGGGTATGGCTAGCAACACTTCCTTTGTAAGAAATCAACCATTGTTCTCCTCTAAGGCCTTCACTAGAACCTCACATGTTTGCACAGATACTGAGGTCTGGAAACTTGGGCATTTGAAAATAAAGTGAAATGAGATTCTCTGGTGGCCCATTTCTGTGCCAGTTACACTCAGCCCTGTTTTTACTCCTGACAGTTAGAGTGGTTCCTCAGTGGAACAGGCTTCCTCGGGAGGTGGTGGTCTCTCCTTCTTTGGAGGTTTTTAAGCAGAGGCTAGATGGCCATCTGAAAACAATGCAGATTCTGTGAATTTAGGCAGATCATGAGAGGAAGGGCAGGAAGGGTTGCCTCAGTGCTTAGTTCTCATGGCCCTTTCTTACACACCCAGGGAAATGCTGATCACCACTTTGGGGTCAGGAAGCAATTTTTCCCCAGGCCAGTTTGGCCCAGGGATCCTGGAGGTCTTTTGTCATCTTCTGGCTGTGGGACAGGCGTTGCTGGGGGAATGCGCGCGCGTGTGTGTGTGGGGTATTTGTGAATTTCCTGCATTGTGCAGGGGATTAGACTAGATGCCCCTGGAGGTCCCTTCCAACTCTATGATTCTATGATTCTACTCTTTTGCCATACAGAGGAAGCGAAACAGGAATCAGGTTTGCTGGCTTCTCCAAAAAGTCCTGAGAAACAGCATGTCTGCACGCGGATATGACACCTTCCAGCAGTTCCTAGACAGTGAGCAGTACGCCCTCCGCAGCATCCGGCGCTATGAATGGGTTTTTGGACCTGGTTTTGTCAGCACGGGAGGAATCAATACCACTAAGGTAACCATCGTGTGGAGAGGGAGGGGCAGAGGGGATCAGTGGTAGAGCATCCGCTCTGTATACAAAAGGTCCCAAGGTTCAGCCCTGAAAAGGATCAGGTATTATTTATTTATTTGTGATGGGTCAACCCAGCTGCCTGGCTAGACACCTGGTGGAGCTGAGAGGAACAGACAGAATCCCTCCTGGCAGATGTCCGGGCTCTTGGACCACAGCGAAAGAAGAAAGAGATACCTACTACTGCACAGGTCTGGTCGTGCATGGGCCCCCCCTGGGTTGGGAGTGGCTAGCTTGAAGGATGCCCTCAGCATGTGAGAACATACTTTTGACTGACGGGGTGAGCTAACAAGACCAGTGGGCCCAAAGAGGGTGTCAGACTCCCATCGCATCAACGAAGAACACACTAGTAGAATAGAGGTTTCTTTATTTGAGCAATAGGTGCATAACAGGATGAGGCAAAAGCATGGAACCCAAACGATTATAGAAAGTTCAAATAGCAGAGGCCCAATTGCGGGGTTTCCCACACGCGCCATTGAGCCTGGGAAGCAACGCTTCTAGTTAAGCATAACAGTTGCTTCTCATGGATAAGGCCATGAGATCACTCCCGCTGCTCCTCGCCATCAGCCACCTGCGGCCTTGAAAGATATGGATGTTCCTGCAACTAGGCAATTAAGCGCTTCACCAGACATACATTGTAAAGTGAAAGCAGACATGCGCATACAGAGGGAACAGATAGACACTATACAAGATCAAATAAGATACATTGGCAGCTCGCTGACAGAGGGACTGGACCACAGCACATGCTCAAAAGAGATCTGAAAAGGACAGCCCTGCATGAGTTGAGGGAGGAAGCAGGCATGAAAGGAGTGCCCCAACTTCCTTTGGGGAGGAGTCCGCCAATGAGTAAACTTCCCAGGACAGTGACTGCATACCAAGCAGAGAAGTATCAAGAGGGTTGTGATTAGCGCTACACCTGGTCTTTGCATCTCCTTAGGGCCCCTGAGTTGTCCAGTGGAAGGGTTGCCAACCTCCAGGTGGTAGATCTCTCAGAATTACAGTTGGTCTCCAGATAACAGAGATAAGTTCCCCTGGAGAAAATGGCTACTTTCCCCCTAAACCCCACCTTCCACAGGCTCCACCCCCAAAGTCTCCGGGTATTTTCCAAACCAGACCTTATATGGTGTAAACCACAGAGTGAAAATAACTTTCCAGACTCCTATGGCCTGCTGGTTTACCTACCTCAGCCCTGGTCACAGTGTAGCATGTGACAGACCGCTACCTGAGAGCTTGGAGAGCCAATCAGAGTAGACAGTACGGACACTGATAAACCAATGGTCTGACTCAGTATAAAGCTGGTGCGTGCGTGAGTCCTGGTTACAGTCTTTCTTTAAAGGTAAAGGTAAAGGTTCCCTTGCTCGAAAGCCAGTCGAGTCCGACTCTAGGGTTGCGGTGCTCATCTCCGTTTCAAAGCCGAAGAGCCAGTGCTGTCCGAAGACGTTTCCGTGGTCATGTGGTCGGCATGACTAAACACCAAGGCGCACGGAACACTGTTACCTTCCCACCGAAGTGGTACCTATTTATCTACTTGCAATTTCTTGCTTTTGAACTGCTAGGTTGGACCTTTACAGGGGAACTTATCTCTGTTAACTGGAGAGGGCGGGGTATAAATACGATTAAATAAATTCTTAGGTAAAAGAACTGCATAAAAGGAACTGCCGTGTTCAGAGGCATGATACCTGCGAACGCTGGAAACAAAGGCTGGCCGGCGTCTCCGTTACCAAGCCGCATTTGGGGAGCTTCCCAGCCGAGGTTTCTGTCTGCTCATATGAAAGAGAAGAGGGTTTAGAGCTTAGGGTTGCCAGTCTCCAGGCGATGGCTGGAGATCTCCCACCATTACAACTGATTGCCAGACAACAGAGATCAGTTCCCCTGGAGAAAATGGCTGCTATGGAGGTTGGAGTCCATGGCACTGTACTCCACCGAGGTCCCTCCCCTCTCTAAACCCCTCTCCAGGTTCCAACCCCCCCAAGTCTCCAGTATTTCCCAACCCAGAGCTGGCAACCCTATGAATCAAGCTAGAAGGATTTCTGGTCGGACCAGCAAGGCAATTAATAGGTTCCTGCACACAACTGTGAGTGTGGGTGGGCTGCAACTGGGATTCACAAACACAAAATGGAAAAGACCCAGATAAAGCTGGGCTTTTGTTTCTGCGGATCTAGGTGAATTAAAATCTCATCCTCCACCCACCCCCCCCTTTCTAATTTTATGCTGAGCAGCTGGCCCATTAAGGCTGCAATCCGTGCACATTCACTGAACACAGTCAACATGTGTTTAAGATCCATCAGGCTGTGCAGACTGAATGACATTTTCGGTTTTTTATGCCAGCAGTTTAACAATTGTGCTCATCTGAAACGCATTCCAGATTTCAATGTCAGGCGTGCAATGAAAAAGCAAATAAATCCCAAAGTGAAAGCAGACGTCCTCCCTTCCCTGCCTCATATCCCCCCCCCAAAAAAAATCTCTAGAATTTGGGCTCTCCAAACAATCGCCTGGTTTGGCTAGTGTTGCTTTGGAGAAGGTATTGGGAATGGATGAGGCAGGCGGCTCCCCCCTCTGGCTGCATCTGAGGCCTGACTAAGGTTCCTAACCTCAAGGAGGGGCCTGCAGGATTCCAGCTTATCTCCAGACCTCAAGCCTCAGTTCCCTTGGAGGAAATGGCAGCTTCAGCGGGTGGGTTCCACCCCATGTCACATCCCCACTGAGCTCCTTCCTCCCCTCAATTACTCTGCCGTGTGTTGGAAGCCTGCTGGGTGACCTTGGGCCAGTCACAATTCTCTCAGAACTCTCTCAGCCCCACCGACCTCACAAGGTACCTGTTGTGGGGAGAAGAAGGGAAGGCGATTGTAAGTAGGGTATAAAAACCAACTCCTCTTCTTCTTCTCCTCCTCCTCCAGGTTCTGCCACCAAATCTCCAAGAATTTCCTAAATTGTATCTGGCAACTTTAGGTCTACTTAATCCTCTCCAATCTCTCCCTAAGGAGCTGTTGTCCATGCTGGCATTGAAACCTGGTCAGAAAGTGTTGGACGTTGGCTGTGGGCTCGGTGGAAGTGATTTCTACATGGCAAAGGTACTGGGCTAGTAGCAGCTTACCCTCACCCTTTCAAATATATCCCTGATCCCTCTCTTTTTTGGGCACTGCGCCTGAGCCTAGGCTTGCCAACCTCCAGGTGGGGCCTGGAGGCCTCCTAGAATCACAACAGATCTCCAGATGGCAAAAGTCAATTCCACTGGAGAAAAATGGCTGCTCTGGAGGGTGGACTCCTTGGCAGCATACCCAGCTGAGGTCCCTCCTGTCCCCAATCCCCACACTCCTCAGGCTCCACCCTCCAAATCTCCAAGAATTCCCCAGCCCAGAGCTGGCAACTCTACGTGGCCTCTAACAGTTGCCGTACTGGCAGAAATCCACTAAAACTCCCTGCTGCTGAAAGCTCTCCATGCTGAAGTCTGCCTGTCATGTACCCAGGGCCCTTTTAGCTATGGCATCACACTGCTGACTCATGTTCAATACTCCCTCTAAGCTGTGAGGTCTTGTGAGCAACAATTGTACTTTGTGAGCGACTGGCATTAAAGTTGTGAGCGAGCAATTTGGCTACTGCATAAATTAGTTTGCTCTGGAGCCAGTTTGGTGTAGTGGTTAAGTGCGCGGACTCTAATCTGGGAGAACCCAGTTTGATTCCCCACTCCTCCACTTGCATCTGCTGATGTGACCTTGGGTCAGTCACAAGCTCTGGCACAGCTGTCCTTGAAAAAGAGCAGTTTGTGTCAGAGTTCTCTCAGCCCCACCCACCTCACAGGGTGTCTGTTGTGGGGAAGGGAAGGGAAAGGAGTTTGTAAGCCACTCTGAGACTCCAAGTGAAGGGCGGGTTATAAATCCAATCTGTTCTTCTTCTTCTTCTCTTCTCTTCTTCTTCTTCTTCTTCTCTTCTCTTCTTCTTCTTCTTCTTCCTGAGCTAAGACAAAAATGTGTGAGCTGGAGGCTTAATCTGTGAGCTAGCTCACACGAACTCAGCTGAGAGAGAGAGAGATTGGATTTATACCCCGCCTTTCACTAACCAAGGGAGTCTCAGAGCGGCTTACAAACTCCTTTCCCTTCCCCTCCCCACAACAGACATGCTGTGAGGTAGGTGGGGCTGAGAGAGCTCTGACAGAAACTGCTCTTTTTCAAGAACAGCTCTTATCAGAACTATGGCTTGCCCAAGGTCATCCAGCCAGGTGCAAGTGGAGGAGTGGGGAATCAAACCCGGTTCTCCCAGATTAGAGTCCGCGCACTCAACCACTACACCAATCACTTAGGGAACACTAAGATCCCCGAGATCCTTTTTGCACATAGTACTGTCAAGCAGGGGAGACAGAGGGCACAGGACGAGAGGAAGGGTCAGAGAACAGCTCCCAGGTTAAGACAAAGGAGGAATCTGCATTTGTCTTTCCCACCAGTGTCCCAGCCTTCTGACTCAATCTTCAAAAAAGCTGTCTACATTTGGTGTCGTTTTCACACCTCAACAGTGCTAGCATACTTTCGCAGGTCCACATATGTTTATCGTCCTTTAGGGTGGCTCCACTGTCATTGCACCTCTGCACTGCTTTAAAAGAATCTTCTCCAAGCGACATTCAAACAAGCATAGAGAAAGACGGCATCACAGCAGCACAAAAATGATTTTAAAATGCAAATGCAGATGCTGGTTTATCTGGCTTCTAAAACGGGATTAGATTAAATCATAGCGGATGGGTCCATCCACAGCTATTAGCCACGATGACTGAATGGAACCTCAAACGCCAGAGGGAGTCACCTGCTGAGTACTGATGCTGGGAGGCAACCGCAGCGGGGAGGCTGTGGCCCCCATGCCCCTTCTTCTGGGCCTCCTGGGGGGCATCTGGTTGGCCTGGCTACCGTCTCAAACAGGATGCTGGCTTCGATGGAACATCACTGTGAGGTAACACAGCTACTCTTGTGCTTTTTTTTCTCCTCAGGAGTTTGGCGTAGAGGTCTTGGGTCTGGATCTTTCACACAACATGGTGGAGCTGGCGTTGGAGAGAGCCCAACAGGAGACCAGATCCCTGGTACTGATGAGGGAGGGTATAAAGTACTGAGACTGATGCATGGAGTAGTGATTTCAGCTCATACTTTATTAGGACATCGGAGAACTAGAGATAACTAGCGTGGCCCGTGGCCCACTTATATTCCCGTTCAAAACCACACCCAACACACACCCATGACTGGATTATTTACACACAACTCCCCCTATTGGTTCCCTATTAGGATCCGAGCTGACCGATAGGTGAGTTCTAGGATCCGTAGCTGCTATTGTCCTTGTGGTGCGAAGCTCGGCACGTTCCTGCGGCCACATGCGAGTCCGACCACGTGCGTGTAGTCTTATCATGGTACACAACAGAGGGCATGGGGGGAAGGGGAAAGCAGGAGGGGTGGGGTGGGAGGGGTCGCTGTAGGAAGACCAGCGCTTCAAGGCTGCTGGATGGAAAGTGGCTACATGGGGCCCTTAGCAGACTGCCTGCCAACAGAAATGTGTGGAGGAAACTGAGGCAAGCATGAACCTGTTGATGGTTTTATAAATGACACAGCATTTTACAGAGTAATCTATGGGTCTCTGCCCCCAAGGAGCTTACAATTTACATTCTGGCAGTGGTGGAGAAAAGAAAAAGAGAGTCGAGGAACTGAGTGATAAGGGATGCAGATCAGCAAATGCAGTTTTGTAGAGGTGGATTTGGGTTGGGTTTGGAGGCTGAAGAGTTAGGCCAAAGACTCTGTGATAAAGGTGGATTTGAAGGAGAGAATTGGGTGGTGGGGTGCCTTCCAGGTGTTCCGGGGGAGAGCTCGAGGCACAGAAGGCAGAAAGGGGACACAGTTGCCATTCACTTCAGGACAAATTCCTAGGCAACTGGGACCTACATTAATTAGTGGGAGGGAACGCCATTTTGATTTCACACCTCAGGCCCTACAATCTATTACTCCTGCTGTGGTTCTAGGTGCAATTCGAAGTTGGTGATGCTACTCGAAGGGTGTTTCCAGAGGGTTCCTTTGATGTTGTTTACAGCCGAGACACTATCTTACACATGGCAGACAAAAGCGCCCTCTTTCAGAGGTTCTTGGTAAGTGTCCCAACTTGTCTTCACCTAGGATTGCACTGGCTTGGAGAAAAATCTATTTATTTTAGGATTACCAGATGTCCTCTCTTTTGGAGGACATGTCCTCTTTTTCTTTGTATCCATCCTCTTTTGGGCTCCTTTTAAAAAACTGAGGAAAATGTCCTCTTTTGGGGTTGGAAGGTTAGGAATATTCCTAGTTAGTGGCAATTATTGTAGCTTAAATAGTAGGGGTATTGAAAACGAGATTTGTCATAGTAATCACTTTTTTGAAGTAGTCAGTTGGGAAATATGCCCTATTTTTTTGCTTTTCGAAATATGGTAACCCCAATTTATTTATTTCATTTTACAACATTTATATCCCACCTTTCTGCCTCATGGGGGCCACAAAGGTGACTAACAAATCAAAACGTATATAGTGGTCCTGTCCCTTTAATACAGACCTAATGGGCAGATTTTCATGAAGCTTTTCATGGAGTGGAGGCCAATAACATCACCTGAGAAATAACATCCCATTAAGGCTGTATTAAAAACATAAGAACAAAGTCTGAGTCCAATGGCACCTTTAAGACCAAGAAAGTTTTATTCTGGGTATAAGCTTTCATGTGCACACACAGTGTGCGTGCACACAAAAGCTTACACCTTGAATTAAACTTTGTTCATCTTAAAGGTGCCACCGGACTCAAACTTTGTTCTGCTGCTTCAGACCAACACAGCTACACCCACCTGAATTTAAAAAGATCAGGCATTTTTCCTCAGGCAGTTGGCAAACCTACCCTCAGCCTGCCTTGTAACCCTCTTCTAAAGCATTGTGCAGTGTTGCCCTGCCTCAGTCTTACACATCTGTCTGTGTGTCTCCCCAGTTGTGGTTGAAACCAGGTGGGCAGCTCCTCATCTCTGATTATTGCTGTGGGCCACGTCCGTGGTCAGAAGTCTTCACCAAGTATGTCAAGCAGAGGGGATACAGCCTGTTCATGCCTCAGGAATACAGCCAGGTACGGGATGGGAAATGCATCCCTGTGGAGTTAGCACTGCAGCAGGCCAAATTAGACCTTTTCCCCACTTGGATCAAACGACCAAGCTACCCGTTCAGCCAAGCGATATGTATTTTACTCAATGCATAGCCTGCCTTTCTTGTTGAGACTCAAAGTGGATTACAAAATGTGCATAAGAGAAGCAAAAGCATAAGACGCCCAATAAGCATTGCAGTAGGTCTAAGATTACAGAATTAGAAAATGGTGCAAACAAAAAACTTAGCACAATATACCGTGAGCAATGCAGAAAGTGGATTGCAAACATAGAAGGGGTGGGAAAGGCCATCAAGTCATAGCGAACTTACAGCGACGCCGTAGGGTTTTCAAGGCAAGAGACACTCAGAGATGGTTTACCATTGCCTGCCTCTGCCTCATGACTCTGGACTTCTTCGGTGGTCTCCCATCCAGACACTGACCAGGGCCGACCCTCCTTAGCTTCCGAGATCTGAGGAGATCAGGCTAGCCTGGACTGTCCAGGTCAGGTCACATACATAGAAGACCGTGCAGTAAAATCAAGAGGTTAATACAATAAACATTTCAGTAGTGCACATTTTCAGGCTAATGCTCCATTCAGGAATCTCAGCAACTGGGGGGTGGGGGCCAGTTTACGAATTCTTACTCTTCAAAAGAAGGAGAAGTTAATTCCTTCCCTGAAGTAAAGGCCCCTGTCCCCAGTTTTCTTGTTAGCTGGATGCATGTGAGACGGATCTCTCCCCCCCCGGCTTCTCAAATACCCCGTGGAGCCCCTGGAACACCCTTGCAGACTCCCGGGGGTCCTCTGTGTGTTTGAAAGAGATTCTCTTACATGGCCTTTATTATTACTACTAGAACCCCCACAGTCTACTGATGCAGGTTAAATTTACAATGAAGGAAGGTATTACCAGGATCTATGAACTAAGGCATGACCTGGTAGCCAGTGTGGTGTAATGGCTACAGTGCTGGACCAGAATATGGGAGATCAAGGTCCAAATGCAAATGTCCCAACCATTGTTCCCTCTAAGCTGAGTTAGTGTGAGCTAGCTCACAGTTTTTTAAGCCTCCGGCTCACTTTTTTGTCTTAGCTCAGGAAGGATGGCTCCAGAGCAAACTAATTTATGCAGTAGCCACATCGCTCGCTCACAACTTTAATGCCAGTAGCTCACAAAGTAGAATTTTTGCTCACAAGACTGCATAGCTTAGAGGGAACAACCTCCCTGGTTCCACACAGTAAAACATGCATTGCGACTTCTATGCTGGGAACTTAATTCCCAAGCAAAGGCTCATTTGGATTGGGACAATGGTAAAGGTGATTAAGCCTCCTGCCCCTCCACCTGTAATGACCCAGGGGGTTGCTATTTACCACATTGGGGAAACTATATGCACTGCTGGACTACACATAAGTTTCCCTAATGGGGCCATCAGCAGCTCCTCGGAGCTGTTTCAGGTCAAGAAAAGGACACTGGAGGGGCAACACATAAATGAAGCTGCAGCAATCAAACAGTTTGTAAGGACAGCAGAGCAGCCTATCAGTCTGTAGTTTGTCGCTGGATCAGGCAAGCTTTTGGGTTTTACAGAAAACTTCATCCAGCCTGAAAAAGAGTTCTGTGCAATTTGAAAGCTTGTATAATATAGCAATCTGGTAATAAAAGATAACAGGGCTTTTCCACACTCTCATTTTCCTTGCTTGTGTGTTCCTGTTTCTTCGGAGGGCTTTTTCTGTTCTACATGCGTTTTGCTTCCTCTAGTGGTCGATTCAATATTACATCTGTGTATGTCCAGCATAAAAACCTACAGTTTAAATCTGCAGGGAGATATGCCGTACATAAACCAATATAATATTGAATTGACCACTAGATGGTGTCAAATACGTCCAGAACAGGAACACCTCCCACTTTCTGAAGAAACAAGAACATGAATACCCTCCACTCCCAGAAGAAATAAGAACATTCAAGTGACAAGAAGGAGAATATGGAAAAGCCCAAAGCAATGTAATATTGAATTGACCACTAGAGGGAGCAAAACACATGCAGAACCCAAAGCAACAGGAACACACAAGCAAGGAAAATGGGAATGTAGAAAGGCCCAGTGTTTCCACCTTAAATGGAACTGCCATTTCCTAAACTATTACAGAAAAGGCACTACAGGAGCTCATGTATAGCAATAAATATCTACGGAAAGAGGACCCAGATTTCTCACCTTGTAATTACAATTCCCTATTAAAAAATGACCAAGATAAACTTAGTTAAGGGGTAAGGAGAATGCATTAAAAGCAGGTGGGAGAGCCATGAGAGAGGCAGCTTTTGCAAAGTGGGTGTGTGAGGTTCCTCTTTCTCACCTCCTGCTAATACCTTCCTCCCTGCCCAATTACCACAGGTACTACAGAAAGTTGGATTCAGAAGTGTCCAGGCCTTGGACCACACAGAGCGGATGCTGTCAGCACTAACCCGAGAGCTACAAGAACTGGAGAGAAGTCGAGAGAGTTTCATTCAGGTCAGCTGGGGGGGGGGAAGGGGGGGCTAGGCATGAAACTAGAGCCACCCCTCTGTGGCACAGCCCCCACCCTCCAAATCTGAAGACTGCTGTGAGCTACTTCACCCAAACATCGAGCAATTAAACCATGCTGGCTATGGTCTGAGAGCCATGGGTTGCTTCAAGGTTTTGCTGGGGCCAGGCAAGGAAGAAGGTTGGTGGTGGTTGCTAGGCAACCAAGCACTCCTTCAACTGCCTCTCCTCCTAAATACGGGCCCAAAGAGACACAGATGTGAAGCAACTCTTGGCTGCCCCAAATTACCAGAGTTGTCCTTTTGCTTTGAGGTGTCTTTACATAAGAACATAACAGAAGCCAATGTTGGATCAGGCCAGTGGCCCATCCAGTCCAACACTCTGTCACACAGTGGCCAAAAATACCAGTTGCCATCAGGAGGTCCAGCAGTGGGGCGAGGACACTAGAAGCCCTCCCACTGTTCCCCCCCCCCAGCACCAAGAATACAGAGCATCACTTGCCCCAGCCTGAGAGTTCCTATCTATACCGTGTGGCTGATAGCCACTGATGGACTTTCTCTCCCAACTTGGGTAGGATTGGAGTGGGAGTATTTCCCTGCGTTTCCTCTACATTGCAGGGCCACTACAAACTTTTCTTGCTTTCTGGTAGGTAGTGTGAAAAATGCCTGTTTTTTCTTTTCGCACCCCCATCCCTCACACACTGCAGGAGTTCTCCAAGGATGAATTTGAGGCCATGGCTTCTGGATGGAGAGAGAAGCTTGAGCGCTGTGCAGATGGGGACCAACGTTGGGGGGTTTTCTATGCGCTGAAGCCATTGTAGGCTCTGCTGCAGCCAGGCCAGTGAGTCCCAGCCAGCTCCCAAACCTTCCCACCGTTCTAGCTTTTAATAGCATTTACAAATGTGAATGGGTTTGCTATTTTTTTCCTGCTGTTCTTGGGTCAAGTTTCAAGGCTGGAGCCTAGGTACAGAGGCTTGGAAGAAATGTCATTTCCGAGTGTGGACTTGTGCTGGCCTTTAATGCAGAGGATTTGGCTTTGATTAATTTCAAATCTGCCTGGAGAAGTGGAATGCTTTTTTGCTTTTTGTAATTTTTTATTTCCTTTCATCCATCTTTCTTTCTTTCTTTCTTTTGAGCCAGTTTGGTGTAGTGCTTAAGTGCGTGGACTCTAATTTGGAAGAACCAGGTTTGATCCCCCACTCCTCCACTTGCAGCTGCTAGATGGCCTTGGGCAAGCCATAGTTCTGTCAGAGCTGTTCTTAAAAGAGCAGTTCTCGAAAGAGCTCTCTCAGCCCCACCTACCTCACAGGGTGTCTCTTGTGGGGAGGGGAAGGGAAAGGAGTTTGTAAGCTGCTCTGAGTGAAGGGTGGGGTATAAATCCAATCTCTCCTTCCTTCCTTCCTTCCTTCCTTCCTTCCTTCCTTCCTTCCTTCCTTCCTTCCTTCCTAATTGTATATGGCAAGAACTGAGCAACTGTTTCATGCCTCTGTATACCTCTTTTTGTCTCTTTACTCCCAGTCACCGAGGGCTCTCTGAAGAAAGGTAACACTTAGTACTGTTTCCTATCAAGTTTGCAGGGAGAAGAGGGACTGCTTCAGGTTTTCCAAAGGTGACTCTTTTCCTCAGCTTTTTGGTGGTTTCTCTCCCGCTCCTATTGGCATGTAAAACACTTCAGGAGAAGGTGGGCAAACAGATTTGCAGGGATATGGGTAGATCCTCATCTTGTATTTATAATGCTTCAAAGTCTTTAGGAGTTCCCTGACTGGAATTCCAAATGTGTACTGTGGATTCCAAAAACACCCTCAGGGAGCCTGATATGGAGAAGGGGCTGCCATGCTGGGAAGAGTTTTTTAACTCTTCTCCCCGCTTCATTTTGCTCAATTGTATATCCCTCCCACCACCACTGCTTTAAACCCAAGCAGAGGAGGGGGGAAATTTGGCATCTTCCTCCCCACCCCCACTAGGATGTACGGTAGCCTAGAGGGGTCATTTGCAATCCAGGGAAAAAATCAAAGGGAGAAGAGTGATGTTTCCTTTCCCCCAGTGCTGCAGCCCCTCTCCATATGGGGCTTTCAGAGCTCTTCCCGTGCAGATTCCCATCGTTAAAAACAGCCTGAGTTGCACCGAAATGTTGCAATCCTGTCAGCAGAGGGCAGCACCTTCCTATCTGGTTTATAGCTTGGTGGGGCCCTACGGTGCCAAAGGAATGGCTTAGAACCTCAGATCTCTGTTGCAATTTGGAGAGTGTGTCCATGTCCTGTCTCATGGGCTCGTTTTCACACAGTAACATTCTATGCAGGGACAAGCATGAACCTGCATGTAGATGGTGATGCATTGATCACATTTGGTCTCTCGTGGCTGACCGATAATAGCACCATTCATTTGCGTTTAACAGATAGGGAGAAGGTTTGTTGAGGTGGGGAAGACCTTAGTGTAGCTTGGCAGACAATCCAAACAGAACTCCCCAACACTTAATTTGTAAAGGGCACACTCCTCAGGGAAATGCTCCAGCTCAAGGTTAAATTCTCCCTAGAAACTGAAATGACTAAAGCTTCTGTACTTTGATCACATCAGGAGAAGACAAGACTTGCTGGAAAAAAATAATAATGCTAAGAAAAGTTGAAGGCAGAGGTCATTTCGGGGGGGATCGCGGGGGATCGCAGTTCCCCCGGGTGAGGTACGGGGGGCGGGGCACATGACGAAGCCCCGCCCCTTGCTTCCGGCCGCCCCGCTTCTGGCCCTCATTCAGCCAGGAGGAGGCAGGAGAAGAGGGAGGGTAAGTTGCTTCCTCCCTGCCTCTCCCCACCCCTGCCTGCCTGGGGCCAGGGAGGGCCTTTGCGGGGCTTCCTTGCACTCCCACCGGCCTTGCAGGTCCACCGCCGGGCCCCTCATGGGGCTCGGCAGTGGAGCTGCAAGGCTGGCGGCGGCCGGGACCGTTGGGGGTGGGGTGTGTGGCCTTATGACACACTTCCGGTGATGTCAGGGGGTGTGGCCTTATGACACACTTCCGGTGATGTCAGGGTGTGTGGCATATGCTAATGAGTTATGCTAATTAGTTCCCCTAGTTCTTTTTCTACGAAACGACCACTGGTTGAAGGCATCAGGAAAAGAGGAAGACCCAACATGAGGTGGATCGATTCAAGCAAGGAAGCCCCAGCCCTCAGTTTGCAAGACCTAAGTGATAAGACTGTTAATGAGAGGGCATTTTAGAGGGCATTCACTCACAAGGTTAGCGTAGGTCGGAAGCTACTTGACAGCACTTAGCACACACCTACATACACACATGGCTGTGCTCTTGCACAGTTCGTACCCACTTCCATGGGATGCAACACGAAAACATCCTGCTAGACTGGGACCAGGGAATCAGTTCTGACGATCCCCTGCTCTGACACCTTTAATGGTGCCTCCAACCCATTGCCTCCCATTACCTCAGCACAGGCAGAGCGGTCCCTGTGCTCCTGCTTTTTATTTAAAATAATAATAAATCTAGTTTTCGTTTCTACTGTTAGGCAGCATTGCAATATTGATGCGATTGGTCGTGAGTTCCACTGGAACAGAGGGGGAACGCACAGCTTCCAGAAGACTGGCTAAATGCCTTACGGAATAAAATGTGGGTGTTTCTACAGGGGGGGCAATTTTCCACAATCAAGTTGTTGCTGTTCTGGCATGTGAGGTTACAACAAAGGATGCAGCGTATCAGTGAATATTGTGCTTCTGAAAGCATTTAACTCCCTGATCTTCGCAGCTGAACAGGAGGTTTTGTTCCATTATGCTCATGAATCCACTTTCAGTTCTGTTTACAAATGTCAGTGGAGGTATATGTTTTTTCCTAGTTTGAGCCCCTTAATGTCATGACACCAGGACTATTACCTGAGAGTAGAAGAGAAATAGTAGCCTGAACGAGGCTCCAGTCACCGTCCAAGTGGTGGCGCGACACAATTTTTTAAAAACTGTGCATGCGCAAAGAATTTTTTGTTAAAATGTGCTCCACCGAACAAAATGAACTACCGACATGTAACCAAGCACTGTTTTACGTGCACTTGAGCATTCATGCATTTAATATATTCAGCGCAGGATTGGTCATGTGCACAACGGTGAAAGCTGAGGGGGGGAAACTACCACAAGAAGGACGTACAGATGACCTAATCACATTCATAGCGAGAGATGGCTGTACAGATAGGAGAAATTGCAGATTCACAGCGAAAGTAGTAGGAAAGTACTCGATTTTCCTGATGTCAGAAAATGCGCTAGAAAACCGGGGGTGAGTCCGCTTCGATACTGCAGACAGAATCGGCTGCCGGATCAGCCATTTTAAATGCGATAGGGAACAGTTGTAAAACCCAATCAAAATGACCATGTGACCATGACCTGAGAGTATTTAGAAACCCAATCTCCTCCTGACTTGAACATATATTGACCCAATCAATGTGTGGTTAGTTAAAATCACCTATTATGACACAATTATTTTGTCTAGTTGCTTTCCTTAATTCTCGCTGTTTTTAAATCATCCTCTGATCTGTGTTTTTCTATTCCTCATGAAAGCAAATAATATTAATAATAATAATTACAACAAATCAGCTCCTAGGGAAAAAACAGGACTGTTAACTAGGAAAAAAAGAACAGCCAATCAGTAATGTCGTCTGGAGCCCCTATTATAACTGCATGTGCAATTTATGGTACATGTGCTACATTTTGTTAGTGTAAAGCCACTATGCAATGAAGCTAACTTACCCATTCACAAAATGTTGGTATGTTGCTGTGGGGTAGGGGGGAGTTCAGCTGAAGCTTATACTTGGGAAATGTGGTAGATTGGTAGGCTACTATTCTGCCTTTCCACTGACATGCTCAGAACAGCTACAAGAATTAGTTGGGACTATTTCCGTAGTAGTCAAGCTCCTGCCATCTGTGCATGCAAAAGGTGCCAGGTTCAGTCTCCAGTGAAAAGGATCTCTGGTTGCTAAACTGAATCCAAGGAAATATGCCAACAGTCTGACTCACAGAAGGCAGCTTCACATATTCAAAATAAGGTTCAAGTTCTACTTCTGGGTACAGGCTAGCCCAATCTCATTAGATCTCAGAAGCTAAGCAGGGTCAGCTCTGATTAGTACTTGGATGGGAGACCACTGAGGAGTCCAGGGTTGCTGTGCAGAAGCAGGCAATGGCAAACCACTCCTGTTCCTCTCTTGCCTTGACAACCCCATGGGGGTTACTATAAGTTGGCCAGAACTTACTTTACACACACACTCAGTCTCCAAAATGATCATGGTACACTTAAAGCAATCCAAGCAGATGTCCTGAAAGGGGAAAGATGTGAGTCCCTAGCCTTTGATCGAATCTATTTATTTATTTGAAAAATTTAAAACCACCCTCCCCCAAATCTCCACGTTAGTCTGAACAGACTTAGAAACTTCAGTGGGAGTTTTTAGACCAAGATAAAAATCCAGATGAAGACCAGAGAGGCAGCCATCATAAAAACCCACATCTTCCTGCCAGTCAAACCAACACCATTCAGCATCGTTCAAACACCCTCCCAAAGAGAACAGATTTACAGGCTTGCCAAAATGATAGTAGAATAGGAGTAAACGGAACCTCCTCAGGATGGCTTTCCAAAGCATAGGGATCCATTGTAGTAAAAATACGAGCCGTAACTGAGGCTGCCGGCACTTGGCGAACTGAAGGGACCAGCAAGAGAAATCTATCAGGGGAATATACATGGGGAGCCTCTACTCAATAGGGGAGGTATACAAATAGCTAGCTACTCACCTGGCTGGTTACTGAGGGAAGTGGCCTCTGTTTTTCCATAGGGTCACAAATTATACAG